ATCAAGTGACAGAATAAAATTATATAATATATATAAAATAGTTCCTAGAATGAATGTATAGGCCTTGGAAAGAGATGTAAAATTACTAGGATTAGGATTATTGATATGAGGATAAAATTTGGGCACTATGGTGGTAGAGTATAATTCCATTATGGATAGAATTTATTTTGATAAAATCACACAGTGTTGTAAAGTAAGTAATATTTACTGATAACCACGTTTCGAGCACAATTTATTACTGCTTATCGTCATCATATCAAGGCACTCACTCACACAACTTTCTTGCTTCGTTTATATAATTCCATTATTTCGCATCCCTTGATTTGATCGGTAGTAATATTTTCCATATCTCTGGTATCAGTGATGAGTCATTCCTACTTCATGTTTTGGGTGCAGATTCTATGATCAAAGTTTTAGTGATCAACCGCCTTTTCTCCACCTACCTAGATTACTTTTTAGAATTTTGCCTCTGTCCCACCCACCCTATTGTATGGTTGTGCATCAATACATGCAGTGCGGTGTAGTGCTGAGTGCTTTTTTTTCTAAATTACTTATTATCGCGGGTGGGATCAATCATTCTAACCTTAGCTAAATTCTTATGTTCCGACAATCTGACTACCCCTGATCTATTAGTGTGACCTACTTAGTTGACCTCGCTCACAGTCATTGCAGGGTATTTTGTAAATTATATTATTTTTTCTAATTGGATCAGCATACGAGGTCATTTCACCTACAGAGCTTATCCTACCTGAGTGAGCTAGAATGTTTGAATGCCACCCTAATACCTACTTTATTGGGAATCTTACGTAGGGTTTCAGATGTCCTCTCCTCATATGGCAGAACTGTAGATGCCTTATATTCTCTCTTATTTATTTTATCATTATTATGTCTAATGAATTTCATAGGGTAGTTAGTTATTTAACACCAACCAGCTATTCTTCTATCTGTTTCATTTCATCATTTAGGTGTTTTGTTGTACTGCTTAGTGCTACTGCTCGGTTTAATGGACACTTAACTAAGCCTAAGATAATGGATGAGATGGATCAAAGTCTAAATGTCTAATTACAGAATGTGTTGGCTTTTTATAAACTGTAGTGTGCAGTTTACCTTCTTCTGTTCGTTTTATTTGAGAATCTAACACCAAAGCTAATTCTGCTTGTTAATTTTCTCTTTCCAAATATGAAATTTATTATTTGTTATTATTTATCAGTAGCAATAATAATAGTTAATAAGTAAAGCGTACCACCGTCGTAGATTCAGAGTGACCATTATTCCCCTTTGCACATAGGGACCTGGTTTATAAACTCTAATTGAGCAAACCTCCACAATTGCAAACATCTTCCTGTTTCCTGTTTATCTGCTGGCAACAGTATGAATGACTTGACGGTGAGTCAGTATCATGTCCGTAGTTTACAAGATGCTTTGTTACTGGACTTTCAGGCACTCTGACTCCAACTGTTTCCAACCGCCTTGTCAAATGCTCCATTATGCAAGTAGACTATCGCCTCTGCAAACATACAACCTATGTATTTGCTTCTACAAACACACTCAAATTGAAATACGCAGTTTGAAGTGTCGAGGATTGGCGACTGGTCTTTCCCAGATTGTTGGAGCACCTGCTTACTGGTGGCGTTAACGAAGACATGATTTGCAGCATAATAAGTTCTCTTGATAGGTCCAACAAATCTTCGTTTGACTACTTCTTGTACATCATCTCCTGTGGACAGCAAATCGATAGGTACAAATTTATTTGGAAGCGTTTGGATAATTTTGCTCAGGCTCATTTCTATAGAGTATTTGTACATGAACTTTTCAGGATATCCATTCTTAGTTAAAATATCCTTCAGAGTCTCTATTACACGTTCAGTTATACTGCCAGAACAAATTTTTCATCCTATATTGAACAGTGTTCTAACTGAGCTCTTTTTTATTTTGGATTGGAACAAAACTTTTAAAATGTATGTCCTGTCCCACCCATGAAGACTTTTTAAAAATAGATGTCTCGATTGTGCCATTAGCTCTTTTCATCAGATAAACATGTAGGAATTTAATGGTATCAATTTACTCGTGTTCTACTGTGAAATTAAGATTCTGATGGCATCAGTTGAATTTTATCAATAGGTCTTCAGCTTTTGATTTGCTTTCACAGACAATAAAAAGTATCATCAACATATCTCAACTTTATATATATATATACTGTTGATAAATACCAATTCCTAGTCCTGAGAAGAATAAATATGGGCAGTTTGATAAATTCATTCAATCCTGCTTTCTTAAGAAGTTTGTTAATTGTTTTAAATTCCTGTAGGGAAATTAAATGTTTCCAACTGCATAATATGATGACAACTTTGATGGGATATTTTTCTTGTATATTATTATTCCCTGGGGTTTCGAGTGAAACATAGAGCTGGCTTCAACAGCACATCTCCACAACACTCTATTTTCCGCCATCCTATTCAGCTGGTTCCACGAGTGCCCATAATCTCTCATCTCTCCTCCTCCATGTCACCCCAGGACGACCTACTCGTCACTTCCCATTGGGATTCCACTCGAGCAGTGGCCTGCATTAAGCGCGACGTTATTTGACGGTCTCCTCAAATTTCTGCCATCCCATCTCCACTTTCTCCTATATATTTGTTAAGCAGTCGGCTCTTGCTTGTTGGTTTGTTCCCAGCCAGTCAGCGAGAGTTTCTCGTAACTAATTCTTTCTGGCGATCTGGTCAACCATCTGGCCATTTGATCTTCAGTATGGAGCCAGCCAGTGAAGTGAGCAGCTGTTGATAAGAGTCTGCAGGTGGTTGTTGGAAATCCTTTTCGTGACACGCTGACCAAGTTACTGACTCTATAGAATGAGTGGCTGACTGGCTGACTTCACATCTGTATTGAACAGAATCCGAATCTTGTTCTTTATGCCGGCTGACTGACTGTGTTAGTGCGTAAGATTTCCAAACTGGTTTCAGGTTGATGAAGGTGTACATTGCTTTTTCAATTCTGGCTTTGATATCTTCATCCGTTCCTCTGGCTTGTGGATGAAACCGTGCTTCCTAGCTGGATAAGTGAAGGAAGTGACCTCTTTCAAATCTCTCTCGTTGATGGTGATTGATGCTGGTTGTAGTTGTTGAGGTTCGTTGGTTATCTTCATCACCTCCGACTCCACCTTCTCTGTATTCACTTAAAATCTGTCCTGTTTTCGCTGCCTGCCAGCCTCTTCAACCAATTTGTTGGTTTTCTCCTGCAAGTCTTCGACTGTGTATGACATAAAACATAAATCCTATACACGTGAAATCCAGATCTTCTAGATGGAGTCTTCTTATCAGTCTTCTCACTCGCCACTCACAGTCTGACGCACAATCCAGTCCACCACAATTAAGAATATCACCGGTGATAGGAGCAGGCAACCTTGTTTTACTCCCGTTTGCACTTTGAACGCCTTACTTAGTTTTCCGTCGTGGATGACCTGATACATGACATTGTCATATAGCCAGTTGTTGAATGAGGTTTATAATGATTTGGACAATGCACGCCGTAGTGCTGAAGCAGTTTCCAAATTACTTCTTAGTCAGCGCTGTCTGTCGAAGGTCTTTCCGAAGTCGATGAAACTGAGGAACACGTTAGACTGCCATTCTATGCTTTGTTCTCTGATGACGATGAGTAGAGTTGCAATTTGATCAGCACATGATTTGCCTTTCCTGAATCTAGCCAGCTTATTCCGGTGGGTAGCGGAATTTTGTATCCAGTGCATCCTTTATTCTCTCCACGATGATGTGACTTAGTATTTTACTTGGTGTGAGTGGACAAGAGCATTATTCCACGCTAGTTCTTGCAGAGGCCTAAGTCACCCTTCTTTTGCAGCTTGACGAGGTGGCCAGCCTTTCTTCCAGTTGGTAGGTACCTTTCCTTTTGATAAGATAGGTTCTGCAATATTACAAAAATATTTAATGATTTAAAATAATAATAATACATGGGACAAGAGAAATAATATCGAATACAATTCAAAGCGAAAAACACAGAAATAATATTAGTTGAACCAACTAGAACGAAACCTATGTCAGACAAGGCTTCCTGTGGCCGATTACTCCTAATCATCTAATGCCAACAATTCACTGTGCACCCTGACGGCGAGCCGCCTAGAATAGTGGCCACATTGCAAACTTCACTGATAAAATTCAGTCTGCATCCACACCACAGAATAGACACATCACACTGGTTACTAACTAGTGTCCAATCAGAAATACATAAAGAAATTAAAGGGTTGGGGGAAAAAGGAATGTACTCACTTGTTCTGTACACAAAGGTATGACATATACCCAAGAAAACGCGGCGTGTTAGCACAAATTCGATAGATAATCTTAAAACTATGGTCAGGATTGGTTGAGTGATTGACACTGAAGTCTATCAGGCGCTCTAGGATGGTGCTTGTCAAACCCTTTCTTTCTCGCTTATAAGGCTATGCTGGAATGTGCTGCCATATCTATAACAGTATCATGGTTATAGGCATTCGTTCTCATGTCTAAGTGGTTTCCTTATTCAATTCACCAAAGTTGCATCTTCTTTTTTGTGTAATACAAATTTTGTTTGATAGGTTGGAGGATTTCATCATAAGCTGACATCAGTTAGAGAACCACTGGAAAACAACCACGGAGTACTGGACAGCTGTTTCGCCCTAGTTTCAAAATGACATAGCGCAACCACTTCGTCATGTCTGACTCACATTCAACCTGCTGCACCCTAATAAATACGGCTTCCCACTAGAACCCCAGGTCACTACCTGAATAGGGACAGTCGCTAGTGAGCATCAGATCGAACTAAAACGAAACAGCTGTCCAGTACTCCCTGTGGCTGGTTTTCCAATGATTCTCTAACTCATGTCAGCTCATGATGAAATCCTCCATACAATCAAACAAAAACATCCCCCACAAAACCAATACTTGAAAATAAAATACAAATTTTCTTTTTCTTTCAATTCCTTTCTCTCTTTCTCTCTCTTTTTATTGATTTAGATTTTCTCGATCTACCCTGGGATCCAATAGTTTTAAAACATGAAACTGTTATCGACAAGATATCTCAACTTAGTCCGTAAGTTAACCATCCATTTTGTTAAAGTGAGGCATTTAAGAATAAGCCACTTTCAAAAATTCTCAGATAGATTTCATCGGGAACCAAGTTCAGTTGGGGAATCATTGGAAATCAAGAAGTACTTGTTGAATAGCAGCTGCTTTGATGGAAAAACTTTCAAGCCAGTCTATTGTGTCGCATAACAAGTAATAATATTATTATTATTGTTCCCTTGGATCCTGAGTGGAACATTGGGCTTCAGCAACACATCTCTACTTTGTTCTATTTTCTGTTGTCCTCTTCATCTGGTCCGACGCCTGTCCATAGTCCTTCATATCCTCTTTGTATGACCTCTTCCTTGCTACTCTTGGATGCTCAACTCGTCGTTTCTCATTCGAGTTCCACATTATGACCTGCCTAGAGTGTTATGTCACTTCAAGATCACCTTAGTGCGTATATCCAATCCAAATCTACTTCTTTCTTGGTTAGTTCGTCACATCACAGACTTCGTTGTCCTTTATCCTTCCTAGCCGGTCATCTGATCTTCACTATCGAGCCAAAAAAGGCAGTCATTGAAGAAATCCTGCAGTAGCCTGTTGAAAATTCTTTTCTTAACGCGTCAACTCTATGAACCATGGGAAATCACTGACTGAGTTGACATCAGTGTTGAAAATTCAGATCTTATACTCAGTGCCGTGGATTTCCACATTGATTTCAGAATATTACTCATCAGTGACGCCTCCAAGTAGTGAAATCGATGTGGATTAGGTCATTTATATTAAAGAGGCGACTTCCTTTAGATTTACCCCACTGTTGACGATTAGTTATTGTTCCCTGGTCGATCCCTTTTCTCAGTGTTCACCTGAAGCCATAACTTCAACGCCTGCCTCTTCTATCAAATTGCTGCTTTTTGCCTTTAAGTCTTCGAGAGTGAGCTATATCAGACATAAATCATTCGTAAAGTCCAAATCTTCCATAGCCTTCTCATCGATCAAGAGTGTGCTTGTCCACTTACTTCTTGCAGTCAATGAAATACTCGCCTGTTTAGTTAGAAGCTGAGCCTCCTGGTTAAATTATTAAAGCGCTGAACTACTTAGTAATTCTGAAGGAGACAGTTCAAACTGTATCACGATCCAGATTTTCATTTCACACCTTCAATCATCACCCGTCATTACATCAATAAGACATTCTGCAAACCTAAGACTATTACAGATAACCAAGGACTAGGCAACAGATCGTTTATTCAGAAAATCAACAGATATTTTTAGATTTTTATGTACATTTTTGTCAGCGGAGAAGTAACGTCTTCTGATTGGTTGTTTTCCTGGGGAAGGCTATTCTGTAATGCTTGTGAACGTTTCTCAGAAAGTTAAGCCATATATCTGCGAATCGTATTTGCACATGCTAAGTCTGCTGTGATTGGTTGGTGAGTACCCAAAGGTTAAGCTTTGTTATTGTTTTTTTTCTCATGACTCCGATTCGGGACATGTAAACATTGACGTAAATTGCTGTCTACAACTTTGGTTTGTTCGCAGACAGCTCTCACCACAACCTCATCATCGATAAACAAGATCACATTCAAAGTGGATGAAGTCTTCAAAAAGTACGCTAACCTGATAAATCCTACTGCTAACAACAACTTCTCAACAGAACTTCAGAAGCTCCATCATATAGTTACTCACTAATAGGCTACTGATTGAGTATTGGTTTTGTGTAAATTTCGTTTGATTTCTGAGGAAATTTCATCGAGGACTGACATCAGTTAGATGGCCGTTCAAAAAACCATAGAGTGGCAAGGTAGAGGTTAGAATTCATGAGCTTTTAAGGGTGAGGCAACATTTCTGCTTTTATTCCTTTTTCTCATGACCTATCGTTTTCTTCTTTTTGTTACGAGTTGATCACGGGCTAATATCAGCTAGAGAACCATTGAAAACCAGCACTAGAGTACTGAACAGCTGTGTCATCCTAGTTTGGGAATCATCGACAGTACGCACCCACTGGGATTCGAAACCGCAACCTTCCGGTTACACTGCAAGCTAGCTCGTATACCATTCAGCCACTGGGACCCGACTCAATGGCTCATGAATTCTAACTTCTGCCAATTCGTGATTTAGCACGACCAATGTCGTGGGTAGGATATCCATCTTCACACGTGACATCTGGATGATGAGCCATTGAATCGGGTCCCAGTGGCTGAATTGTATACGAGCTTGCCTTGTAAGCCGAAGGTCCTGGGTTCGAATCCCAGTGGGTGCTTACTGCCGATGATTCCCAAATTAGGACAAGACAGCTGTCCAGTACTCTAGTGCTGGTTTTCAATCGTTCTCTAACTGATATCAATCCGTGGTCAAACTCGTAAAAATAAAACTAACCTTTCACAAACCAAACTACAGAAAGTATTCTTCTATAGCTAATTTCATTGAATATACTGATAATCTGACAATCTTCGTCCCTGTAGTTTATGCACTGGATTGTTCTGGTATGATCTCATTCAAATGGTATTAAACTAAATCCCTCTAATTGTCATACTGTTGATTTCATTTCCAGGCATGACAGAGACTTGCACGGACTTATTCAGTCCCATAATTCTTGGGATACTGACGTCACTGGGATAGGGAGTAAATCGAATACCCCTATGTTTATATCAGTCAGCTGAAAAATGACTACAGAAAAACAGAGTGAAATGACAACGTGTTGCTGATGCCTGAAAGGACAGTATTAGTATGATTAGGATGGACTGTCGATAACGTATCATTGTAACATTCACACTGCAGTTTTATATCACTCGTAATGACTGTAGTGAAACGATGATCCAGTTTACAAGCGGATATGGCACATGGCCCCAACAGTACAGCATCTGACTAATGAGTAATTCAGAAACTGTTGGTTTAAACCTTGTCACGACCCAGGTTTACATTTCATACGGTGGTGGCGCAGCGGTAGGATGCTCACACCTCATGTGGTGCGGGGTTCGACTCCCGGCTACAGAAGCACTCCTTTACCTCGCTAAGCCAGTAATAAATAAAAGCTGGTAAAGAGGAAAGGTTGGGCATGAGGCTAGCAACCCCATCCTGTAAAATAAACGCCACTGCTACCGAAACTCGAAGCCTCTAACTTAAAGCTCCCCATGTTCCACTGGGAACGTAAAGGAATAAAAAAATATATAAATAAATTTTTTACTTTTTATTACAATTTATATTTCCTCGTGAAGGGGTTAGTGAAGGGATCATTGAAACGCAGGGAGTAGGGGCAAGTGTTTCCTCCCCCCCCCCCCAGTTTGAAACCTCTAAGAAGTAAGTCCGCACATCCCTCAGGGGTTGATCACTGCGCCTCTGGATTGAACTTCAATGACCCCTTGGATTCGAACTTCTGTGAATTTCACTACAAAGCGCTTCCGCCAACTATTGGTATCAACGCGCATCTATTTCACTCTGAAATGAGAAACCTGACTTGTTTTGACTTCTCAATAGAACACCAGAACATCCATTCAGTAGTGAAATGAGGTGGATGCTCTTCGACGGCACTGATTAGCGGTAGCACTGCAACGCGAATTGATATAACTTGGAATTCATGGGCTAATGAATTCCAACCCAGTTATTGGCAGTACTCCCCGAGTGGGGTTCGAACGCAGGATCCTCCGGTTACAAGGCAAGCTTGTAGGCAAGTCAACCAGTGAGATTCCAGTAGCTTAGTTGGTTAGAACATCGTACTCATAATGCAAGTTCGACGGTTTACACCCCTCTCGGGGAACTGTTTTGTGTATTGATGGTTCAGTGGTAAAACGCTCTCCAACCACGCCATCACATGCGGTCCGGAGTTTGATCGCCAGTCACCCACGCACCCCTATACCCCGATTAGCTTGTAATAAGTAAGCCCGATGAAGAAGGAGGTTTGGTGTATAAGGCTATGGATCCCATCACGTAAAACACCACAGCTACTGAAGCTTCAAAGCTCAATCTTGAAGCCTCCTGTGTTCCACTCGAAACACAAAAAAGAATACATTATAGCAACATGAATTTCAACCAACTAGCTGAATGGTTAATTAGCCAACCTCGAAAAGTGAAGTTTAAGGCGATAGCCTCTTAGGTACTCACTGCTGAAGAGTACCAAACTGGAGATTAATAATAATAATTTGCTTTATTCCAAAACAGTACTTGTGATACAGAATGGAATTCTCAGCATTTCACTATAGTATTGCATCCAGTTTGTACATTAACAATAAATAAAATTCTACATAGATTATGGGTAGTCTCAGTTAATTTTGACAACAACATATTAGCATATCGGTAGCAAAGCCAAAAGTCAACAGAATGTTTGAAGGTGTTAGAAACGTAGATACTAGTATATTTACTGGCGTAAGCGGTAACAAAAAAGGTCGAGATATACAGAGTGTGAAAGAATGAAGAAGAATGTTTTAAAATAGTTTTTAAAATGCTTTTAAAAAAAGAGAAAAGGAAAAGAAAGAAAGAAACCGTTGTGCCTATAAATGATATGAGTTGGAAAGACAAGGTCCAGTTGTACTACTGACTATTTAATGAATTATAGGTGTCACGCCTAATGCTTTCTTTATTGCACAGAACACAAGCTAAGTAGGGTATGGTTGAGTTTTTGTACTTGCTAGTGCGAGCATATAGTTTTCCATACATGCTTCTGGTCCTGCCTGATGAGATACGAGGGGAGAGTTGTGAATGAAGAGGGTGGTATGAGTTAAATAGAATGGATTTAGCCCATTTTTCACATGAATCCAAGTGCCTGTCGACCAGAATATTAACAAGCTGGTTAAGTGGCACCTTGCTTACCCTGCTGACAACCTTTAACATCCTACATAATAAGGTATAGTCCTTCTTCAGTAGCCCTGGAAAAACTAAGGAGGAACAATAGAGAATAATAGGCAGTATGCAAGAGTTAACGAATCGTAAGAGTAAGGGTTGGGTTAATCCAGAATGTCTTAACTTCTTTATTTAGAAGGTAAGACGGAATATTTTCCTAGAAATCATCAAGATGTGAGACGACCAGGAAAGATCAGGAGATAGAATGACGCCAAGGTATTTAATTTCCGACTTGGTCTCTATTTCAGTACCATCTATGTTGCACACCTCGTGAGTGCTAACCACTTGGTTTAGGTCAGATTTATGCCTAAAGGTGAAATTGACTGTTTGACATATAGAGGGACTTTAGGTAAGACCGTTTTCCTTGGACCACTGGCTGATTTCTGATAAAAAGCCATTTAGTTTGGAACAGTCACTTTGACACTTGACAGGCAAAGATACAGTCAGATCGTCAGCATATTTAACAAAATTAATGTCATTTGAAGATGGTAAGTCATGTAGAAAGAAAGAAAAGAGAAGTGGGGAGAGCACAGCAGAGGAAGATTTACCTTTGTATACAGTGTGCTGCATTCTGTTTGAGAAATAGGAATGACCCAGGACTCAGTTTTTGTCATAGAGAGCTTATTTAGCAAGAGACATCTAGTTACAGAGTCAAAAGCAGAAGTGAAGTCGAGAAACGTGCAACAAATGTATTTGGCACCTTTATCTAATGATGAGACGATACTATTGTGTAAGATGGCTGCAGCATTTAAAGTGCTCCTACCCTGTCTATATGCAAATTGTTTGGGGTCTTCAAAACTTTTAAGGGGGGGTTCAAGTTTAAGAAGTGCTAGTTTTTCCATCAGCTTTAGAAACGGGGAACTAATGGCAATGGGTCTGAATTTTACATTCTCGCTATTTCCAGGTTTAGGGACAGGGACTATTTTAATGTCTTTCCATGCAACAGGTACGACATTTTTGGAGAAAGAAGCATTTAGGAGGTTAGCTAGTGGAGAACATAAAGCATCTGCACATTGTTTTAGAACATAAGCAGGTATACCATCAGGGCCAAGGCTACGTGAGGGCTCAAGCGTTTTAGGACATTTTAGAACATCAAGAATATCAAAGTAATGAAAGTTATCAACTGAATGATTTGTAACACTAGAAGTAATTATAGTAGAAGGAGAGCATATAAAAGACTGATTAAGAGCGTTAACATCAATAGAGGGAAAAACATTGCATCGCTTACCAAAAGCAGATGGCAGTCCAGTACTCCCCTACTTTTAACGATAATCCTCTAAATCATAGATCGGAATTTTGACAAAATTATCTTTTATATTCTCTTTCATGCTTTTTTCCTTGGCAAAACAATCAAACAATACCGATCACTGAAAATACGCCAAAAGCTATGAAGCCAGTTCAAAACAAGTTGTGAATAAAATTCATCGAAACTCCTTGTTGTCATGGCTAGAAAATAATGATACGATTTTACCAAAACAACTGATTGAAACAATTCATTTAAAAAGTAAAATGCTACACCAGTTAGGCTATGCACAAATTGGTTTCCCGCCAAATTATTCTTTATTAAAACCGATTGAATAATGAATGATAGCATTTGAAATAAGATTTAATCTGTGAATAGCTTGCTTAATTGCTTATTTATTCATTTATGAAGATAAATATATATGTAAATTTTTTATAAACAAGGCGTTTTGTGCATATTTTAAAGGGTTCTTCGTCTTCAAATTTTTTATAATTTAAAGCAATTTGAAGTTTAAAATATTTCGGCGTTTCAATGTTTCAATGAGTGAATTTAAAGGTTCAATAAGCAGAATTCTGCATTTTCAACACAAATGTGAAGTCGATCCTTCTAAAGGGGCCAGAAAGATGGTCAGCGTGTCACGAAAAGGTCGCTGCAGACTTTCATCAACAGCTGCCTTCGCTGGCTCTGTGCTGATGATCGAATAGCCAGAAAGAATAAGCAACAGGAAACTATGCAGTGGGACAAAACAACCAAGAGCCCATCGCTCAACAAGTATGTGAGAGAAAATGAAGATCGATTGATTGGACATACATTGAGGAGGCCGCCGAATGACATCACGAGCCAGGCCATTGCTCGAGTGGAATCCCAACGAGAAGCGACGAGTGGGTCATCAAAGAGAGGGTGACATGGAAGAGATCGTAAGAAGAAGAGATGAGAGAGTTTGGTCAATCGTGGACCCAGCTGAAGAGGACGGTAGAAGACAAAACAAAGTGGAGATGTGTTGCTGAATCCCTATGATCCACTTGGAACGCAAGGGAATAATAATAAGTGGAATTCTGTCTATCCACTTACACGGTTCAGATTCGATTCCCAGTAAGGCAATGACAGCTTTGCAAGTAGACAACCCAGCTTAGAGAATGTAACTGTGTTAAAACTATCGATCTAAGCTACAAATCTTCTCCATAATATTTCTTGATTACCACTGATGGTAGGTATCAGGCAGATCACATATTGTGTGTGAGTGTATGTGTGTGTAAGTGTGATCTGAATAACTCGGTTCCCAAAAGAAACTACGGTAACATTTCACCACCCTTTATGACTGCGTAAATTGAAAAACTGCGTTAGCAGTTTTCAAATTGTGAATCTATTATTACTTGTTATTATTGATTATTTGGGTTCCGAGTGGAATATATGGCTGGCTTCGACAACACATCTCCATTTTGCTCCATCTTCTTCCGTCCTCTTCAGCTGCCTAGCTCCACAACTGCCCACAATCTGTAATCTCCTCCTCCTCCTCACACAATCTCCTCCATGTCACCCCCGCACCGACCACCGACTAGTCGCTTCCCATTCAACTTCTACTCGAGCGATACCCCGCAGTGAGCGCCGTGTCACTAGACGGCTTCCTCAAAGTGTGCCCAATCAATCCATTGCCATTTTCTCCAATAAATGCATTTATTGGGCAGTCGGCTCTCGCCTGCTGATTTGTTCCCAGCCAACCAGCTAGCCGGAGTTTCTTGTTGCTAATTCTTTCTCGTCAGCTGGCTGGCTGGCAGTTTAACCTTCAGTGTGGAGCCAGCGAAGGTTGCAGCTGTTGATAAAAGGCTGCAGTAACCTGTTGGAAATGCTGTCAATGACAGACTGGCCATATATAGAAGAAATGACTGACTGACTTCACATTTGTGTCGAACAGAATCCAAATGTTGTTCCTTATGCTGCTAGCTGAGTTAGTGCAGAAGATTTCCAAATTTATTTCATAGTGATCAAGGTGTATCCTGCCCTTCCGATCCTGAACGGCTTTGACATCTTCATCCATGCCGTCCTCCTGTAATTGAATTGATGCTTCGTAAATAAGTGAAGGAAATGACCTCTGTCAAATCTCGCCCGTTGATGGTGATTGGTGCTGGTTGTTGTTGCCGTTCGTTGGTTGGTTGGTTGGTCGGTTGATTATCTTCATCGCCTCCATCTTCTCTGTGTTCACCTGCAATCCCGTCTTCGTTGCCTGCCAGCCTTTTCTGCCAATTTGCTAGATTTCGCCTGTAAGTCTTCGAGTTTGTGTGTGTGACATTAAAAACATAAATCCTCCATACACGAAATCCAGATCTTTTAGATGGAGTCTTCCTATAGGTCAGTGCAGCGTATTCCTGTCTTCTCACTCCTCACACACAGTCTGACGCATAATCCAGTCCACTGTGAATCTGATTTTCCCCTTTTTCACATTACTGTAGTTTTTGTGTGAGAATTCTCTCAAAGAATAGTCAAGTGTAACCGAATTTCTCTTTTCCTGAAAATTATTCACATCACAAGAATAGGGGGTGTTGGTCGTCTAATAAGCCACGTGATTATTTATCCTTCGTTTTCTTCTCCATTTTACTAGAAGTTCTTGAATGCCTTCAGGAGAGAGAGAGGGGGGTGGAGAGGAAAACTAGAAGAGGAATCTGAATTACTAAATTATATGATCTACTCCTTATCCTCAAGAATAAGAAGAATATGTGTCTGCCAATGATACAGTAGACGGGGAACTGGGGCAACTCAGATAAGTCCTCAGAGGGAATGGATACCATACAAGATTTATCGGGAAAAACATGAAAGTTTTAAAGCAAAAGCCTGAAAGAACCCAGACGGGGCCAAAGAAACTCCTTTTTATGAGCGTTGAGTGTAAAGGTGATAGCTTAGCTGAGATCCTGAAGAATCTTTTCTGCAGATCACTAAGGAAAGCCTTCTTTACGGCTGCGCTACGGATCAATTTCTACAGCCGACAAATGATCAATGGATGTGTGAAGGATAAACTGCCGCTTTGAGCCACTTCAGTGTGTGTTTATAAATTCACATCGCCCGTGTGGAGCTAGTTACATTGGCCGCACAAAGCGCACACTTTCAAAACGCATCTCTGAACAATATCCGACATGGTTAGCAGAAGGACAATACAAGAAAATTATTATTTCAATTCTCGAGCACTGGGTGAACTCAAGCCACGTTGCTTCAGCAGAGTCTCCTTTCAAGATCATCTATAAGATGAGGCCAAATGGTACAAAGGACGTCAGGTTTCGGCATTTGTGTATGGCGGAAGCGTTGACAGTTTGTCAATACAACCCCGATCTCTGTATACAGGAATAGTTTGTCCAGTCTCTTATTCTACCTTGGTCTTAACCTCCTCACCAGTCGTTTCCTGTAGAAAACTTTAATTTTTTAATTTTCAATTTTACTTTTAGTCTGCTTTTACTTTAACAATTAATTGACTATTATCACTCTCCCACATGTTCCATTTGTACATTTTCACAACCTCTTCACACTTGTTAAATTGACACTCAACTACCACCTTGATTCTCACTACTCAACAGCAATTTTAACCTTATCAAATTTCCAACTTTGTGCCATTGAGTACTACATAATTTACGACTTTTAGTTGTACTTCTAAAGCCACCTGTGACTAATTATATCAATTATGTCACCCTCTTCACCTATTACTCAATAACGGACTACTGAACATTTTTGGACAATATAAACACGACTGTACGGTAGCCTATCAAGATGATTTCGTCGATAATGAAAAGAAAATTTTCTTCACTGAATTTGTCTTTTATTTTCTTCATGACTCACTGGGTATTTTCGGTGATTTGAAATATATGATTACCTTGTATCATCTAACTTAAATTCATGAGGCAGTGATCACCGGAATAGGGAAAAGGCCTCAAATGATCAAGATCTCAATACACTTTTTCGATCACATGTCTTTTTTCTTCAAGTCATTGTCTCGAACATTAAATACGCAACTGAGTCACTTATTCATCATACTACTGTGGTGGGGGTAGTGTGATACAGACAGTGTGTGCCAACGGAATGGTGTTTTCACATGTTCCCACAGTTCAATACAGTATTAACAACAGAATTATCATTATTGTTTCCTTTAATTCCTAGAGGAACATAGGGCTTCAGCCGTGCGTCTTCATTACGTTCGGTTCTCTGCTAGAGTCCTCACCTGGCGCCAAGTCTGCCCACACGTTTTCATCTCCTCTTCACATGACCTCATCCAAGTCACCCTTGCACTGACGAACAACTCGCCGCTTCCCTTTCGGGTTCCACTAGAGCAATGGCTTGTCCAGTGATGTCACTTGATGGTTTCCTCAGAGTATGGCCAGCCAATCCACCTCCATTTCTTCCTGCTTACTTGTTGCACAATCGGTTCCTGGTTAATATATATAACCTTATCAAATTTCTAAATTTGTGCCATTGAATACCACGTAATTTACAACTTTTAGTTTTACTTCTTAAGCCACTTCTGAGTAATTATACCAATTATGTCACCCTCTTCACCTATTACTCAACAAAAGACTACAATACATCTTTTGGTCAATATAAATACGATCGTACGGCAGCTTGTGAAGATGATTTCGTCGATAATGGAAAGAAAATTTTCTTCACTGAATTTGTCTTCTATTTTCTTCATGACTCACTGGGTATTTTGGTGACTTAATTCGACATTGTGCAAACCGAAAGATGCAACAGAAAAACAAGATAAAATTAATACCATTTACAAAATAAATAATTGTGTGAACTGTAACAGACATTACATCGGCCAAAATGGGCGTCCCCTTCGAAATAGAATCCAAGGACGCAAATTAGCTGTGGAAAGACATGATATATATTCTTTCATTATATCAGTGCATGTGGATAATTATGGACATCAATTTGATGATTGGGATAATGTCGAAATCTTAGACAGAGAAAACACCAAAAGTGCCAGAGAAATCCTAGAAGCCTGATCCTCAAGTGAATCGGTCAGCGATTTACAAACATGTTAATATAGACGAAATTTACCAACTAATAAGAAGTAAATCACGGTGACAAGAAAGTTCAAAATCCAAGTCAATAAAAAATGATCAATACAACTGTAAATCGACTACCATTCATGAAGATAGTTGCCAGGAGACACAATTCTATCATCAGTCATGGAGAATTTAAATCATTTCACTTTATGCTAAAAATTGCGCTGAAGATGTTGTCTAGATGGGGGAAAACGAAAGCTCCGCAATTTTTTTTTTAATAATAATAATTTACTTTATTCCAAAAACAGTACTTGTGATACAGAATGGAATTTTCAGCATTAATCACAATATTGCATCTAATTTCCTCAAATTATAAATAAAATTAATCACAAAGAAAATTTTTCCACATTTACAATACAGTTAATATAAAAATAAATAAATAAAAAATA